GAGAGAGAGAGAGAGAGAGAGAGAGAGAGAGAGAGAGAGAGAGAGAGAGAGAGAGAGAGAGAGAGAAAGAGAATTATAGAAAAATAGAGTAAAGTGTCCATTTTTTATTTTGCAAAATAAAAAAATTAACACCTTATTCTATTTTTCCATAATTGTCAATATCTACTTGAGATAACTTATGATAAATAATATCACAGAGATGATATAGTATATATCACTGCCCCAAATTAGTTAAAGCCACCAATTAACATTGAATCACTGATAGTATAGTATATACGATCACTTTCAAAACATAATTATATACGCATAAGTATTAACGTATAACGGCAACGCGTATTACAGTAAGGTCTAAATAATTGAAAACAATTCAATATATAAATTTTTTCAAAAGATACACTTTTCTTTATTAACGTGAGTGTTTGCACAACTTTCAGTTCTATACATGTTCGTATCTACTGTAACAATTTTACAAGCAATAGAAATAAAAGTGGACTCCCAGCACCACCCGATATTCTTTACTGACGTTTGAAGTTTTTGACCAAACTGTTATGTGTACAATGGTACAGCAAGTGTACCACGCCCAGCAAGGGATAGAAATCTCATGGTAATGCTAATCTGTAAAATCATTCGCTGTACATAACACAACTTACACAGACAGCAATCACACATTTTTGCCAAGTATCATATCTATATACAATCAGGCATACATTTATATAATAAGTCACAATTCTTACTTGTGTTGAATATAAAATACCCAACATTGTAACACGGGTATCGAAGAATCAAGGTATCGCAAATGAACTTTCTTATTGTTCAAGTGAAATAGAAGAGGAAACCATGCCTATCAATGCCTTTGGCTCGAAATAGAACGCATCAGTATTTCTCTAATTATGCATTAGATAAAGTAGACTAATTCAGCCATATGTTCCGCGATAACATAATGATAATAGTAGACATTTTTAAAAGGATATTTTTAAACAATCACTTCCATTTTAGAATCGTCCAAAAAGTATTCGGGCACCATCGCCACCACACGAAAATTCGGTTACGTGGCGACCTCTTTCGGACGATTTAATACTGATCCACACGAATCGTGCCTCCTGTATTTGGTCTGCGACGAACGACTAATGCTGAGCGAGTTCGAGTTAGTTTTATCAGCTATGCAGCAAAACCACTAGAGTGGTCGCTCACAATACCACCGTCACTTAAAGATGGATGGATGCCAACTACAACAGGGACTGGTACAGAAGCAACAAGGTTGTTACCACTAGAGCACTTGCCTGCAACTGCACCTCTACAAAATAAAAATTGGTAAATAATTGCAACGAAACAACTGACAGAACGGACACTGAGCTGTGCAATTCATATTTATCTTGATTTAAACAAGAAATTATACATCCACAGCTTTCCAACACTACACAAAAAATAAAAAGGCAAGCTCCTGTCAATTCCCATGATTCACACGTCACCATGTGCGTACGCAAGTGTTGTAAACACAAGGTTGCCATAACAACTTTCACACGACTCGCCAACTGAAACAGAGAACTTTTGCTCGATCTCACAACCCTAACTGTCAGAGTTGACACCTCATGAGATTCCAGATATTTTAAAATTCTGACAACAGACCAATTAAGACAATTTTCGAATATAAGAAAATACCCACCATTGGCAAAATAAATCCTTTATAACATCAGCAACATTGTGAACTAAGAAAGCTTGCGTTTTAAAATGTAAAAATATTATCCTCTAAACCAGAAATTCTACTAGGCAACTGCCTAGCCACAGACACAATTCGGATCAATGTCCAATCACTGGTCAATCTGACTATCCTTTAGTAATCCATATACAGGTCAATGATTCCCTAATCATCATCTCATTCGAGCCAGATTGTCTACATATTAAAGATCAAATACTGACCGATCAAAGGGGCTAAATGTAGGTATATATGATGACAGCAACGCGTACACACACTTCCTCAATCATACAAATTTACTCACCAACACAAACACACGTAGATACGCACACACACATGCACACGCGCGCACACACCCACGCTCTACGACAAGACGTTTAGCTCAGCACCGGTTTCCATACCATAGTCACTAGAGCCACAAGAATGAGTGCTAAGCTCACTAGTATACCACTCTAAAATATGCCCACTTCACAGGGTTTCATCCTACAGCTCCTAAAACATGAACATTTACAAAAACATTGAGCTGTCATTTTTATAACATCGTATCAACACTACAGTGCCATATAAGATCATGTACATGCAAAGTGTCATTTACTACAATAAACAACTTCATTCAGCGGGGTATCTTAAGCAGCTAGTGAGCTAGCTAGCCAAGCTCATCACTGAGAGACCTCCAAGCTTCAATAACAGCTGAAAAAAATGTTGATTCATATTCGTTGCTCCACTCCCACCATTTTCACAGCCTGTAAAAGTACTGAAAAGTAAAACTAACAAGGCAATAGTTACTAATAAAGCGAAGTGTAGCATAACAAGCTGGTAACAGGAAGGGGCTGCATTGGGCTGGAAAACTTGGAACATTGGAAGCAAAATTTATTGGCAGTAAAGATGCTTTAAGACAATATATACAGGGTTCTAGCTGCCGTTTGCCAAAATATGAATTTCTTTCATGACTGGCGAATTTTCATTAGCATAAATTGTATTAATTTGCTCCTCTAGTAAGCCGTTTGCGAGTTCAGGATGTAGCATTAGTGGTCACATTTTGGAAATCCAATGGTTAAGCAAATATTACTCAAATAACTTGCAAAACAACAAAATTATTGGCACTCACTCCACTGTAAAATCTCTAGCGTGTAGTGCTAACATGCTTTCTAGCAGCTGCACGTACTGTCTTAGAGCCTGTCCCATAACTTATTTGCAGTCACATGGCTATTCACTAGAAGGCTGCATTCGTAAACCTGTATACACTCACAAAGCTGTGCTAACCTGTATGCAGCATTTCGATTCCATCACCAAGGCTGGCACAAGTGACAACCTATAGACATATAGTCAACGATATGTGGGGTTTACAAGAGACCGCAAACTTGGCTACAGGTAATTTAGATTTGGCTAGAAAAAATTACACTGCAATAAAGAGTACAGCCACAAACTAGCTGCAATTTTATTTCATTCAGCTAGAAAGAACCCTGTATACGTATATATATATATCCGCCACGCGTGGCAGGGCGTTCCTGCACTCACAATGGTCTTGTCGACGATGGACGGGTCGGCGTCGGGGAACCTCGTTGCCGTGACGACGTAGGTGAGTGCCGCAGCCGTCATCGCTGTTTTCTTCGTGCTCGTGTTCTGACTGAATGTCAGCTCCATCTTCCAGCCGTCGAGGAATGCGACGCTGACAGTGTCCGTGTTGTTGCCGCACTCGCCCGTGTAGTCGCTAGCGTTAGCCGGGATGTCTACCATTGCCGTCGCATTGACCGTCGCGTTCACCTGCCGAAGAAACGTCGTTAAGTAATACCCCCCCCCCCGGCCGCCGACAACCCGCAAGCAAGACGTACGCCTGTCCGCCGAATCCGACTCGCGCCTCGGCGGGGCGCGGGTCAGGCGTCACGAGGGGCTGGGTCACGCCGCGCGACGATCGAGAGATTCCAAGCGTAGTGTTCGGCGGACGGCCGAGAAGGCGCCTCAGGACATGCTCGTGCAAGGAATGCGCGGCGAGCCCATCTGTGTGAGCACCTTGTCAAGCCACTGCAATGGTCCATTTAAGTGCAGCTCGATCCAGCAGGGGGTGCTGGTGACGGTCTGTCGGCGGTACTCGGCGCCCCAGCCCTTGACAAAGCTCATGCGGATCGTGCACATCCTCGTTAGCTGATAGACGGCCTCGAATCCCTGGCCGACCGACTGCGACAGCAGCGCCGCAAACTCCTGGTTGTTGAAAATCTTCAAGTTGCAACCTGAGGGATCGAATAGAGGGTGAGAATCGGTAAAGTTGCCGTGAAAGCGGCGCAGTGACGGCAATGCAACATCATGATGCAAGCATAGGAAATAACATTGGGACGACTACCGTACAATTTAGGCACAAGTACACGCAACACTTTTAAAATAGACATAAGTTAGGAATTATTAATTCGAAGGTTATGACCCCAAAATGTATGCTTTTCACCCTAACTAAACTATACAGTAAACACATAACAGTAGATTATGCAGGGTAACAGTGAAAACGTGCATGCAATTTGCTTTCACCATTTCATGTAAATTTTTGTTCACACATAGACTTTGTTGCAACGATTGGTCTCTCTCCACTTCAGGTAGATTTTGCTTACGCATAAATGATATTTTTTAGATAAAACATTTCATTATCATTTACAAAAAAAACAAGACAGAGCAATACACTCCTAACTTTCATCTAGGTTAAACGATACTCATAGTCAAAACTAGCTTCTCGCAATTCTCCAAAGAGTTGCCTGCAGCGTGAGGGTGTGCTTACCTGGTGGTATCTTGCAGACGGTGGCAGGGTGCCAGCCGTACCTCTGGTTGCAGTTGGGGCTCTGCACGAAGATGCTGCTCTCGCTCAGACACTCCGCAAACACCTCTCCACCGATGTAGTACAGTCGCACACCTTTACCTGCGATGTTACGAACGACAGTCAATCTCTCACGATACCGAATTCGCAATCGCAGAGATTAGGGTAGGCACAGGGGACATGGTATTTAGATGTGGTGTTAACTGTTTAGACAAAGCTCAACTGTCTATTAATTAGTGGTGTAACGGTTAACCGCGCGGTTAACCGAAAACCGCGGTTTTTGCGCCACCATTCGGATATTCGAACCGTCGTTCCGTTTTCGGCTCGGTTTCGGTTTCACATTTTATATATACCCGATATATACGCTTTTGAGATACGCGCACTGCGATTGGCTGGCCGTAAACTCTCGGCCAATCAGCGAGCAGATAACATTGATAGACCACTTGCTACATGCCACGAGAAGGTCAACGCGTTCATTTTGTCTGCAAAAATGACAACTTATGTTGATCCGCCAGCCTCCTACAGATCTATGGTATTTATAAACCAGTCTGATTATTAAATTTGCACTTCTGTTTGGTGTTATAAGATTTGTAATTGATCGCAAATATTCGAACCGAAAATAACCGAACCGAAATGTGAAAACCGAAAACCGAACCGAACCGTGAAGTTGTGATTCGTTGCACCCCTACTATTAATATCAGGGCTACATTTTAACTGTGTGATCTCCTGGCAGAAGAAAGATGAAAAAACGCGCAATTCCCGAAGTTATATAACAGAATGAGATGGGATATAATCACGATACAGCGGATACACAATCATTCAGAATCTTTTAACAACAACAAAAACCACAGTCACGTCGCGTTATACAGGTATGAGACAGACAAATGCTGAAAAGGGAAGGGGGAACTTGTATGGGGGTCTGGGGGCATGCCCCCCCAGAAAAATTTTGAAAATTATAAGCTCTGAGATGCAATATAGAGCCATATCAGGGTGCTCCAATAGCTTACAACTAGCAACACTTTTTGGTGGAAAAGGAAAAAATTATGTAAAATTTACTTACTGTAAAATTTTGATGGGCATTGGGGAATTCCGTCTGTGTTGAGTGTGTCCAAAGTAAATGTATTTTGTAGACATTCAAGCTCTTACGTAGGGAAGCTTTTATTTAGCTACACCCTGTATAAAATGTATATAGTTTTTCCAAACGTTAAAAACAATATGACACGGTTAAACCTGAGTGGTGCGACGAGGCTGTACTGCTGTTTGCATGACTAGTAAGTAATACGCTGTGCTTAGCACTAGCAGCTACAGTGACTTATGTGTGTTAAAACTTAAGACAATTATTATTCATTTGGTGGTCAAAACTGATTAACATCAGTTTGCTTTGAGAAAGCTTCCTGACAGGAGGCGAAACGTCAGCGGTACGTTTCAAACCAGCACGGTTGAGTAAAAATTAACTTTGTTACTTACAATTATTATTATTTACTGTATAATTCAACATGATATATTACTTAAATCTTCTTAATATTATTTTAAAACAGTATACTGATCGTTTGTTAACTACCAGTGATACTTTATTGTTTACATCCAAACGTGAAATGCGCGGGGATGTGCGAATTACTACACAACCTAGCGCACGTGAACAGTGAGCGTGCTGTGCTGCACTAACCGTGCACGTAAATAAACCCTGGCCAACACAATGTAAGGTTCACTACCACTGGCCAAAAGTAAACTCCACCCACTTCTTATCGATTTTTGGTATGCCAACGCTGTTACTCAGAAACCTGTGCTAACCTGTGCGTCCAAACATCCCATGCACGTTTCTTGAATGCCAACTAGTTTGGCCGTACCTAGCCCTAGAACTATAGCCCTCCGCTCTGCCGCAGGGCCATAGAACATACTATGGCAATTTCCAGGTAGTAAGCAAAGACAACTTTTTGCGGTTAATAACTTCTTCGGTACGCCAAATAAAGCACATTCTCTGCCGCCCAAATATCTTAAGTTACTACAAACACTAAAATTAAACCGCAAACTAACGGTTAAATGTTGTACTTGCTATATTACTCGTCGACGAAGATTATTTACCAACTTGTAACTGCTATTTCCAAGTGGAGGGGTGGGCAGGTTGCACGCGGTTGCAAACCGCGTAAGCGCTGTGCAACGAGAAATGGCGGTTTGCAACCGCGTGCAACCTGCCCACCCCTCCACTTGGAAATACATTGTGCCCGCTCACTAGCGAAAAATGGCAGTTACAAGTTGGTAAATAATCTTCGTCGACGAGTAATATAGCAAGTACAACATTTAACCGTTAGTTTGCGGTTTAATTTTAGCGTTTGTAGTAACTTAAGACATTTGTGCGGCAAAGAATGTGCTTTATTTGGCGTACCGAAAAAGTTATTAACCGCAAAAAGTTGTCTTTGCTTACTTATACTACCTGGAAATTGCCATAGTATGTTCTATAGCCCTGCGGCGGAGCGGAGGGCTATAGTTCTAGAGCTAGGCCGTACCCTGCTTTTATCATTATGTTAGCAAGCATACATTAAGACAATGATACGAGTAGAAGCGCTCCGGATAGTTACCGAGTCACACTGTGTTCACATGTACGCGATCGTCAGAGACCATGGAGGTATTCTTACCCCCCCCCCAAAAAAAAAATTCTCCTCAAATTTACACTGATCTCAGAAATGGTCTCTGGAGTTCTAAAATGGCCTGAAATCCGCCGAACGGCGGAAATGTCTCATGCCTGGTTATAGTCACCGAAAGCCACATCCAGCCGAATTTGCAAGCACAACAGAATTACCGCCATGCTGTCGCATTCATATGATAAACATGCTGACATACACCGCCACCGCCGACACTCACAACTGACTCACAACTGTCCAAACTGAGTGAGTTCACCCGCCAAACAACACCTGGCCGCATTCATACAATAAACACTCCGCCACTGCTGCCGCCACTCACCGACATGCCGCCTCGTCATCTCGACGACCTGGCTGCGGTTGACGTTGGAGAGCAGGCCGAGGCAGAAGCGCTCCGAGTTGGAAGGGTCCGTGAAGCCATCGACGGTGACGGACGGCTGCGACGCGTGGAACGTCTCGCCAACGCGCGTGTTCAGCTCGTAGTAGGAGATGGAGCACCAGAATGCAGGCTCGCAGTACGTCACCGGCATCACGTCGAGCGGCGGGCTCGGAGACGTCGGGATCGTGTCCGCGACCGCGTCCCAGTTGCTCGGCGACGAGGCGATCGAATCTGGAATCGCGAGCGGGGTAACAGGGCGATCGAATCTAGATTAAGAGCGGGGTAACAGGGCGATCGAATCTAGATTAAGAGCAGGGTAACAGGGCAATCGAATCTGGATCGAGGGGATGGGGGACTAAATCTGGATCGAGAGCGAGGTGACGGGGCGATAGAATCTGGATCGAGAGCGA